GGAGGTTTTACTGTATTAGTCTAAATATTATCTCAAAATAGATAGAGAAATAATGATTGTCGGAAATCAGAAACTTATATTTTAAAATGGCTTAATTAGGAAATTTCAAAGACCAAGTTTATTTTGCTAATAAACCAAAATTATCATATACCACACCACCTACGCAAAAAAAAAACCGCGGTTACGGGGGTACCAACCATATAGTCTTTCTATTTGTCTCATCCCTCTCATGAACAACAGACGATGTAATGATCTTCGGACATGACACTAAACTTAACCATTACTCACCTTACGATTAAATTAGCTTTCGTCCTATGTTCATGATCTTGTTACTTGTGCGTGATTTATCGCTTTTCCCCGCAACAACCGACATGGCTTCTTAGACATACACGATGGAATGTTGCGTCTCATCTCTCCAAGAGTACTGAAATCCTATTTGATGCCCTCAAGTCTATTTAAAGAAGCATCACTAATCTAATGCATGAGATTTACGATCTCCTGTACGAAAGATCCCAAAACTGACCCGAACAATATGACAAAAAATGTATTATAGTAACTTGTGGTAATGCAGATATTTTTTCAATAAACAGATCAAAGCATTTTGAAATAAAGGTGTTACCTTTCCCGTCTTTGAAATGTTACCCCAATGATCATGATTATCGGTGCTTGAGAAAAATATGTGATTTGTTCGAGAAYCCTACTGAAAACACGAAAAAAACACATATACTGAATAAGRWMWATRGRTAMKMKTAYCYATWKWYCTTATTCAGTATATGTGTTTTTTTCGTGTTTTCAGTAGGRTTCTCGAACAAATCACATATTTTTCTCAAGCACCGATAATCATGATCATTGGGGTAACATTTCAAAGACGGGAAAGGTAACACCTTTATTTCAAAATGCTTTGATCTGTTTATTGAAAGTATACTGAATAAGTAGACACAATAACAAGGATCAAGAACAATTAAATTATCTCTAGATGTGATAGGTAGAATCGCTATCTCTGTTATTGCTACCGATTTTTTGGATGCTGTTCTCCAGTTCATTCATCCCATTTTATAAGGGATCACCTTCTTAACCTAATCCGCAGGGGAATAGGAATCGTATGCATAAGCCTTAATCCATGTGGAAATAGGAACATTCCTTTCTTATTGTTTTGTGTAGATTTATCGCATTTTTTCCTTATATGCAGTATGCATGATATGCGTTTACTCTTCTTATGCGTAATATGTGCTTATCTGCATAATGCGCGATATGCGCTTATCTCCCTAATGCACTTTTTGCGGTGACCTACATTATGCACAATGTGCGCTAGACTACATTATGCGCAATTTATGATGGGGTGTTTTGAGACTGTTTTCTGACACTCAGGTCTAAAAACAGATAAATAAAGACATAATGACAATTAAATGAAACATGAAGAGATTGGAAAGAAATTAGAAAATGAAGAAAAGAAAAGTGACACTGAGTCAAGAGAATGGATCTCGGTGTATCATAACATTTGTGGGAGAAATTAAAAGGTGAGACAAAGCAAAAATAGAGTTTATGGGTGAAAAGGGGGAAGACGAGGTCGCCAAGAAAGTTGTAGAGTTAGCAAAACAAATGACTATGAGAAGTCGGAATAAGAGTAAATCACGAAGGATGAGAGATATAAGATATGGAGTCTCGATTAGAAGACTTAAGTTAGAAGTAAGTAAAAAAATTAGATCATGTCTTCTTGTGGGAAAACGACATTTTTGGACCAAAACTATTGCCATCGGATTTTTTTGGATCTGATCTATTAATATTAGTCAATTTAAACCCGAACCTCAAATTAATTCAAATTAGATACCCAAACATACGATTTATTGTTGATCTGGACCTTGACCAAGTTACCGTTAGTCAACGTTAACGGAATAGTGACATGGACGACACGTAGGCAAAAGGAACGACTTTTTTGGACCAGAACTATTGCCATCAGGCCTTTTTGGACCTGATTTTTTTAACATTTGTCAATTTAAACCTGAACCTCAAATTAATTCAAATTAT